ATGTAGGCTTATCTTTTCGTATCTGAGTAATAACCATTATAATAACCATCAATCGGATTTTCTGCCTCTTCATTCTGGTGTTCCACGAGGTTCCGTTTTTTAGTGTACACACTAATTTTCTAGATTGCCGTACCTTAATGTTTGCTGATGACATATTTTTGCTTTTCAGTGGCAGATCAGCTTTTCCTGAAATATTTCAAAGCAATATAAATAGTTGCCTTCGTAATGTAGTCGATTGGACTATTAGGAACTCGTTGTCAATTAACCCATCAAAATCCAAAGCAGTTCTTTTCCGATCTTCTTATCGTGATCATACAGAGTTTCATATATATGTTCAAAATGAAAGAATACAATTTTTAGACAGGCATAAATGTCTTGGTGTGATTGTTGACAGTGAACTTACTTTTGGATGCCATATTGATGATCTTTATGGCAAAGTTCTTGCCTCTTTGCGAATAATTTATGCTTGCAACTTTTATCTACCTGTCCGAATTAAACAAAGACTGGGTCATGCATTGTTAATGACACATGTCAACTATGGTCTTGAGGTTATTTCAGGTACTATGGGTATATACTTAAATAAACTTTACAGACTTGTTAATACATTGTAAGATTTGTATATAATGTTCCTAGAAGGAGACATATTTCAGACTTTGTTAAGAATTTTTTAGGATGTTCCTTTCATTATTATATTGATTTTCGAAAACTATTTTTATTTTACAAGGTTATCAAATACAGTAAGCCTATTCAATTATATAGATCATTTGAGTTTTCCCCCTCCACTAGGAATCCTCAATTATTCATTCCTAGAATTTGGAAAAATATTTTTGGCCGATCATTTCGTATTTGTGTTGCGCGTAGTTGGAACACATTGCCCTTGGAACTGCGATTATTTTCGCATTCTAATAATGTGTTCAAATTAAAACTTCTTGCTTTTTTCAATACTATCTGATTTTCACAATACTACTAAGTCATTAATTTGTGTTACTGCTATGTGGGACTTCTACCCTGTTTTTTTTTTTTTTTTTTTTTTTTTTTGTACTCATAATAAGTGAGTGGTATGTAATTTTTTTCCTAGTTTTATGAATTTATTGATTATATTTGTAATAATTTTAGTTTGCTCAGAACTTATAGTGTAATGTTTTTTGGCCGTAGAGGCTTTTATTACATGAATGAATTTAAATAAATAAATAAAAATATATGTTTCTCGAGATTTTCTGTGATATTGCAATATAAAATTATGGTCACGTATTATCAACTGTAGAATCGTTTATCGATCACGGCCCTTTGGTTCAATAGACGGTGGTCCAAAGAATTTTCCACATAATCCATATATAACAAAACAATTATTTACGTCTCTTGTTAAACCTGTTGTATGGGATATATGCAATATACAGTAGTTTTCCGATTTATCATGGTTGAACGAAATCTGCATTTAACGAACTTCTAAAAATTTTGCATTGAATACCAAATATTACGAACACTGTAAAAACATTTGTACTCAATATAACGAACAGGAACCAAAATTATACCAGCAGTCCGCGGAACATTACAATTAAATACCCATCCAAATGTATGCTATTTTGTCAATATTGCTATTACATTGTGAAACAAAATCCATACTAGAATTAAAAAACAAAACAAAATATTACAAAATGTGTCCATCGCACTTAATCTTAATCGGATGTCGATAAATTTCGAACCCATCCAGCCTTCGCTTACAATGTCAGTAGATTTCAGATTCGTCTAATGGCCTATGCCATCGCTGTGTAAATGTAAGTAGACATTGTATACAGGCTTTGGATGAGTCGCTCCTACATTGTCAGTGGTCTCAGTTGGAAGATCCAACGACGGCTACGCGAAATAAACCTTTTTTTTACTGAAAAAATAATTTTAATGAACTGGTTAGAATCGGACTATATGCGGATGAAAAGACCCATATCTCTGGACCCGAAAAAGGTATTAGCACAAAATGCAGCATTTTGGAAAGGTAGGACTGTCAGCTATAATTTGGCATCAATTTTGTTGACACCCATAATGGACCCTTTTTGGACTTTTTGGGGGTTTTATATGTTATTTTTTAAGTTTGAATTTGTATTGTATATGTTAAGGTATTGTAGATAGATAATATAAATTATGGGCCTTGTGGGCTTATTTATATTTCTTTGTAAGGTAAATAAATGAAATTAAATGAAAAAAATTAAATGAAAGAAAGGGGCTATGCTCGGATCATTTTGAAATTTTTACCGCAGGTGGGTATTTTTAACCTGATTAAGGGAAAGTAATTTTTTCGTGGGGGAAATACCCGGTTACCCGGTTATTTGACCCGAAAGTTCGAATACAAAATAAGGTTTTTATCCGGTTATACAAAATGGATATCATTTGAAAGCTTATGAAATTACCTATCCAACAAGTTGTCAGATGATAGGTTTATTGGAACCGGTTCCGAGTAATGCAAGAAAATTGATATTTTTATACCAGTACCAGCAAATTATGAAATTGAGATTTTCTCCACTAATATGTATCTAAACATTTTAAAGTAGCCGGCATTTGGACGCGTCTTGAGATTTTCTCCTATGGGGTATGTCCAACACCGGCTACGCGGCTGGGCCGGGGCTTGAGATGAGGTAGGTTTATTTCGCGTAGCCGTCTTGAAATTACAAAAGTTTACTAAATTTGACACTTTAGGTAAATAGCCGGCCATCGGCCGGTATTTCCATAAGCTTTCCAACGATACCTACATTGTCTATATCGGATAATTGGATCCGGGTCTTTAACCCGAACTTTGGGGTCAAAAATCTGGGGTCCCGGGTCAGTCCCCCAAGAAAAAATAATGGAACAACTCTAGTTTAGTAAAAACTCTTAGATTTTTTCGAAATTTTTTCCAGAGGTAGGTATTTTTACCCTGATCCCGGGAAACTATTTTTTTCTTGGGGGACGGACCCGGGACCCCAGATTTTTGACCCGAAAGTCCGGGATCAAGACCCCGCCTGGACCTGGATCCACTTACCCGATATAGACAATATGGGTATCGATTGAAAGCTTATGGAAATACCTATCCAACAAGTGGTCACATGAAGGGGTAAGTTGGCATGGTTCGGAAGTTATAGTCAAATTATCGATTTTTTGGACCCGGATTTTTTATGAAACCCCCAAAAAGTCAAAAAAGGGCCCATTATGGGGGTCAACAAAATTGTTTCCAAATTATAGCTGACACTCTGACCTTTCCAAAATGCTACAATTTGTGCTAATACCTTTTTCGGGTCCAGAGATATGGGTCTTTCCATCCGCATAACGCGATTCTAACCAGTTCATTAAAATGATGTTTTCAATAAAAAAAGTGTTTATTTCGCGTAGCAGTCGTCGGAATAGCAAAAGTTTTCTAAATTTGGAACTTTTTGTAAATAGCCGGCCTTCGGCCGGGGCTTGAGATTTTCACCTATGGGTATGTCCGACACCGGCTAACGCGAACAAAAGGTTCATAATTTCGGCACTTTTTGTAAATAGCCGGCCTTCGGCCGGGGCTTGAGATTTTCTCCTCTGGGTATGTCCTACACCGGCTAACGCGAACCAAAGTTTTCTAAATTGGATACCTTTTGTAAGTAGCCGGCCTTCGGCCGGGGCTTGAGATTTTCTCCTCTGGGTATGTCCTACACCGGCTAACGCGCACCAAAGATTTCTATATTTTACACTTTTTGTAAATAGCCGGCCTTCGGCCGGAACTTGAGATTTTCTCCTCTGGATATGTCCCACACCGGCTAACGTGAACCAAAGTTTTCTAAATTTGACACTTTTTGTAAGTAGCCGGCCTTCGGCCGGGGCTTGAGATTTTCTCCTCTGGGTATGTCCCACACCGGCTAACGCGAACCAAAGTTTTCTAAATTGGATACCTTTTGTAAGTAGCCGGCCTTCGGCCGGGGCTTGAGATTTTCTCCTCTGGGTATGTCCTACACCGGCTAACGCGAACCAAAGATTTCTGAACTTCATGCTTACGCAAAATATACCTTTTTTATTGAAAACATAGTTTTAATGAAGTGGTTAGAATCGGGTTATGCGGATGGAAAGACCCATATCTCAGGACTCAGTAAAGTTATTAGCACAAACTGTAGCATTTTGGAAAGGTAGAAGTGTCAGCTATAATTTGGCATCAATTTTGTTGTCCCCCATAATGGACCCTTTTTTGGCTTTTTGGGGGTTTTATAAAAAATCCGGGTCCAAAAAATCGATAATTTGACTATAACTTCCGAACCGTAACATCTTACCCCATCATGTGACCACTTGTCGGATAGGTATTTTCATAAGCTTTCCAACGATACCCACATTGTCTATATCGGGTAGGTGGATCCGGGTCTAGTCGGGGTCTTGAACCCGGACTTTCGGGTCAAAAATCTGGGGTCCCAGGTTCGTCCCCCAAGAAAAAAATAGTTTCCCGAGATCATGGTTAAAATACCTACCACTGAAAAAAATTTCGAAAAAATTGAAGAGTTTTTACTAAACTAGAGTTAAGCCAAAATAATTTCCCGGGATCAGGGTAAAAATACCTACCACTGGAAATTTCGAAAATATTGAAGAATTTTTAAGCCACTGAAATTGGGCTTAACCAATTTTGTTTTGGACTGCGTGATTGCAACATAGAGCACAGATGTTAAATGAGCTTTTTATTTAACATGATACTTTACGGTTCCTCTGAATGATGTAATTATGAGGTACAAACTTTTCTGAAAAAAAATCATTTATAACAAGAATCATCATAGATCCCGTAAAGTTGTTGTAACAATAATCAGCTGATATACTTTCGCTTTTGAAATGTACAATGCCTCTTTGGTGGAAGGCAATTGAAAATTAGTTTTAAGATAATAAGAAAAAATATAAAATGTCACATTTTAGCATTCAACTGCGCACTATTTCAAAAACTGACAGCAATAATAACAATTATGTTTAAGAATAATAAAATGATTTTCAGATGTTCTATAAATATATTAAATACAAAAACATCTTACAGTAAATGGGATTCCTTCTACGGAACCAATAGCAAAACACCGATCACCAGCATTGCATGCACCACTTAAAATCTGATGGCAATTCATCGTTACACCATTATATTGATTAATCAATTTTCAATTTAACAAATTTCTTCACACACTACGAATAATACTTCGACTTGGAGTTCTATAGAATACTGAACGAACGTAGAGTTGCCTAATGTTATATCGACAAACAGCTGTAATTTAGTTTAAGGGAAAATAAAACCAAGTTATAGTACGAAGTCTGCTGGATGTAAATAGCATTTGAACGGCGTTAATAATAGCCTTAAGTTTACACTCCATAACATACCTGATGCACGCCTTCTACGTTTTTCGCCACAAAAGTTGAATAAATATATTTAACAGTTGTTTATACATACTTTATAATACGCATTTTTTTTAACTTTATTGAAAAGAATACACACATAAAGTTTATGTCATAAACACTACAACCATGGTAGAATCAAGGAGGTTAAGTCGTGCAATCATATGTCTACATTTTTTCAGAAATTATTCATTTGACAACATCTCATTGTCAAAATTTGTATTTATAAATCCATTGTACATGCACAAATCAGAGTCGGAAACTTGATTTTATGTAGTAAAATGTGACAAGGTAAATTACAGAAAATGCAGAGATGGGAATGATTATTTCAAATGACTTTACCTTCTTAATTTTACCATGACTACAACATACTACCCTACATTCATGGCTCAAGGAACAACTCTAGTTTAGTAAAAACTCTTCGACTCTTTCGAAAATTTTCCAGAGGTAGGTATTTTTACCCTGATCCCGGGAAACTATTTTTTTCTTGGGGGACGGACCCCAGATTTTTGACCCGAAAGTCCGGGATCAAGACCCCGCCTGGACCCGGATCCACTTACCCGATATAGACAATATGGGTATCGATTGAAAGCTTATGGAAATATCTATCCAACAAGTTAAAGGGTAAGTTGTCATGGTTCGGAAGTTATAGTCAAATTATCGATTTTTTGGACCCGGATTTTTTATGAAACCCCCAAAAAGTCAAAAAAGGGCCCATTATGGGGGTCAACAAAATTGTTTCCAAATTAAAGCTGACACTCTTACCTTTCCAAAATGCTACAATTTTTGCTAATACCTTTTTCGGGTCTAGAGATATGGGTCTTTCCATCCGCATAACCCGATTCCAACCAGTTCATTAAAATGATGTTTTCAATAAAAAAAAAGGGTTTATTTCGCGTAGCAGTCGTCGGAATAACAAAAGTTTTCTAAATTTGGCTCTTTTTGTAAATAGCCGGCTTTCGGCAGGGGCTTGAGATTTTCTCCTCTGGGTATGTCCGACACCGGCTATCGAGAACAAAAGTTTCTAAATTCGGCACTTTTTGTAAATAGCCGGCCTTCGGCCGAAATTTTTCTAAATTGTATACCTTTTGTAAGTAGCCGGCCTTCGGCCGGGGCTTGCGATTTTCTCCTCTGGGTATGTCCCACACCGGCTAACGCGAACCAAAGTTTTCTAAATTGGATACCTTTTGTAAGTAGCCGGCCTTCGGCCGGGGCTTGAGGTTTTCTCCTCTGGGTATGTCCTAAACCGGTTAACGCGAACCAAACTTTTCTAAATTTGACACATTTTGTAAATAGGCGGCCTTCGGCCGGGGCTTGGGATTTTCTCCTCTAAGTATGTCCAACACCGGCTAACGCAAACCAAAGATTTCTGAATTTTATGCTTACGCGAAATACACCTTTTTTATTGAAAACTTAGTTTTAATGAACTGGTTAGATTAGGGTTATGCGGATGGAAAGATCCATATCTCTGGACTCAGTAACGGTATTAGCACAAATTGTAGCATTTTGGAAAGGTAAGGAAAGTCAGCTATAATTTGGCATAAATTTTGTTGTCCCCCATAATGGACCCTTTTTTGACTTTATTGGGGGTTGTATAACAAATCCGGGTCCAAAAAATCGTGACCACTTGTTGGATAGGTATTTTCATAAGCTTTCCAACGATATCTATATTGCCTATATCGGGTAATTGGATCCGGGTCTAGTCGGGGTCTTGAACCCGGACTTTCGGGTAAAAAATCTGGGGTGCCAGGTCCGCCCCCAAGAAAAAATAGTTTCCCGGCATCAGGGTAAAAATACCTACCACTGGAAAAAAATTCGAAAAAATTGAAGAGTTTTTACTAAACTAAGATGAAGCCAAATTTTTATATTGAGCAAACCCGCGAAACAAGGATAGACTTTATGGGTTATTCCACAAGATTGAATCTAAAATAGTTGGAAAGTATAGTTTTATTTCAATATTGTGCAATGTGTTGCCCACTAACATCGAAACTGTGCATTTATTTATTTTGCATTTATTTTATTGTATTTTTTTTTAAACAGTACACACACATATACAAAATGTGTATATGTTTTGATAGAATAAGGGCACTAAAAGAAAAAAATTGTATTTACCTTCTGTAATTGTGCCATGCATACATATAAACATATAAAATTGCAAAAATGTTCTGGCAAGGCACTTATTATACAACCAGCGTGACCGTTGTGCCACTAAAGTATCAATTTTGCCACTTTTTTGGGCTTTGATACCGTTGTGCCACTTTTTTATTTTGATCCTAAATGAGCCACTTTTTTTAATTTTTGTGCCACTTTTTTATACATTGTGCCACTTTTTTTAAACTACATATATTTTAATCTAAACGCTGTATTTAAAATAATGAAAAGCGTCGTACCCTGCCATTTCCAATCAGCGATAGCAAATTTTAGAGCGAACGCTTTTATATTAGGTGTTTGTTGTGTTTGTTTATTTCTGGAACAGCTGTTATTTTTTTATACCTCCACGAGGGTATATTAAGTTCGTCATTCCGTTTGTAACTCATCGAAATAATCATTTTAGACCCAAAAAAGTATATATATATATTCTTGATCAGCGTAAAATTCTAAGACGTCTGTTGTAATCACGCTACAGTCAACACGAATTAAGACAGAAAGCTTAAATTTTGCAGAGATCCCTCTTTTGCCTGCAGGCAGGTCAAGTTTGAAGATGGGCTATATCGGTCCACGATATCATATAGCCCCATATAAAGGTACCCCCGATATCCGGTATTTTGATGATTTTAGCCACATTTTCCAATGGAATAGTCTGAAAATCACAAGAGGAGTTTTTTGTGAGCATTTTACTCCTTGAAAGAGAATTTTCTATATAGGTCCACATCTTCGTATAGCCCCCAATATAACGGTACCCCCGATTTTCGGTATTTTGATGATTTTAGCGACATTATTCACCGGAATAGTTTCAAATTTTGTATTTGAAGTTCGTAATGGATACTACATCCAATGCCAGAAAATTGCCTGCGCAGGCTTATGACAAAAGATGCGTATGCAGGTCCACGTCGTCGTATTGAGCCTAATATACGGCAACATTAGGTATTTTTAAGATTTTAACAGAATTTTTAATGGATTTTAATTTTTTGAAAATTGCCAAATTTGTTCCATATGGTGGAGGGTATACGAAGTTCGGCCCGGCCGAACTTATAGTTTTTTTACTTGTTAAATATGCAATATGTACATACATATATTATTACTATATAGTATTACATATAGACGAATTTGTTGTTTTGTTCTAAACTGTTATTTTTTTAAATAAAATGTGAAATAAATTGTGCCACTTTCTGTGCCACCATTTAAAATTATATGTGTCACTTTTTTCAAGAAATGATACTTTTTGTGACACTTTTCGAAAACTTCCAGCGGTCACACTGTATACAACAGCTGGTCTTTTGTTTCCCTTATCCAAAAAACTCAATTTTCTTCTGTTTCTCTTTCATTCTCTCTATGTATTTCTCTCGGCCAAATAAACTTATGTTTCCTCACAGTTCTATCAAACAATTCAATGAATAAAATATATTTTACGAATGTGAACACAACAGTATTTGACACTGTTTGGTGTCTATTTGAACAAACGAAATCTATCAAATATTTGAATGTAATGTAAACATGAAATCAACTCTGTATTAATTTTACATTTGTTCAGTCAAATATGGGAAAAAAATTCGGATCAAATATTTACCCACTGTGATCGTATCTTAAATTAGTACGTAAAAAATAATTCTACACGCGTTACAACCAAGGTAGATCTAACAGGTAACCGCATCGGCGAATTGCTACAACAAAGCAACTTTTGTGGTCCCCTCAAATGTCAAAATTGGCATCTAAGGCGAAAAACATAGATTCGCCAATCAGAAACGAGGTGTTTGTTTACATTTTATTTTGTGTCCCTCTCGTCGTAAACGAACGTCGCAATAAAAGTTGTTATTGTAAAACAAATAAGAGTAAAATAAGTATTAATTGTAGTATTGCGATTTTTTTAAACAAAGAAACTTATAATGACTATATTTTACTGGTTTAAACCGAAAGTTTTCCGGAACTGCAAATGACAAGAGTCTAATTCTTGCACTACTTCCCGTGATGTGCTTTGGGAATCTTAGATGTTGAGGCTAACTTAATTCTTAAAGCTGCACTCCATTCTAACCTCCTTCCTTCATGTTCTTTTAATTTTTTACTGGTTTCACTCTTAACTTACTCTTAAATTATTTGAAATATTATAAAAAGGTACTTTTAGGGAAGACAACATAAACAAATTTGTTGTTGCATTCATTTAGGGCGAATTCTTCATTACAACAATTCGTTTTGACATTTAATGGTGCCGTCAGCTGGGCTGATGCGATTACCTAGTACATCTACCTTGGTTACAACACAATGGAGCAACCATGGTAGAAGAATATAGGTAGACGCATCAACACAGCTGCTGAGACAATGAACTATCAAACCAATTTTGAAATTGAAAGTGTTGAATGAAAAATTATTTAAATTTGTGAAAATTGTTGAAAAAAAAACTAATTATAATAAGCGTTGATGCATCCACCTGTATTCTTCTGCCAATTTCATTTTGCTAAAACCAACAACTTCGCTTACTGTGAAAACCGTATATTCGCAATTGAAAGCCATATTGTTGTGCTCAGCAGCTTCACGCTTGTACTGTGGCACATTGCAGCAAAAGACGTGGAGCCATTGGAAATTGTAGGCCTGTTTGTTGTTTCATAACTTTTCTGCATTCAAATTATGCCAAAAATAAAAAATAAACCCAAATAACACCTCATTTTAACTGATTCAATGGCTTGCTTATTGGAATCATATCATATGCCAAACATGTT